AGGAAGGAAGGAAGGAAGGAAGGAAGGAAGGAAGGAAGGAAGGAAGGAAGGAAGGAAGGAAGGAAGGAAGGAAGGAAGGAAGGAAGGAAGGAAGGTAGAAGGAGTGAGATGTAAAAGGAGAAAGAAGCCCTCTTTTTAACAGATTGACTCAGCTGTTTGGTAACTTGACCTCAAGTATTTTTATTCTTTTTTGGTGGTTTCACACTATTCCTAATGCACAGTCCTTTTCTCACACCCTCAGGTTCCTGTCCCCTTGTTTATGCCTCACCTGTGCAGCTGTGTGGCTGCCTGTGGTTCACAGCAGCTCACTGCTCACCCAGGCACCATTTGTGCTTTTGATCAGCTCATCTTAGGTGAGATCATGGTGTGAGCTGAGGAAGCAGCAGYGTGTAGCAGAGGAGGAGAGCAGCAGCCCTCTTTAGCAGCAATGCAAATACAAAGTGGTGTACCCTTGACATGAAACTACACACTCAATAMCCACTGTGGAGGCAGGCCTTGGTGGAGCTGGGCTGTAGGAATGAATGCCCTTTTGAATGGGGACTACAGGTTACACCAGCTTGACTGAACACTGTACCTAAATTTCCTCTGAAATGCAAATATAAACATTGCTTKATAAAACGAACCAGCAGCCACTGTAGCATGACAATAGCACTTTTCTAAAGAGAACCTCCATCTTCGGGCAGGGTGAGGGAGCAGCCAGGGTAGCCCTGCTCCCTTAGGATGGGTGAGGTGGGAGCTGAGGGCAGCCCAGGRTGAGGAGAGCAGTGACTCCTCCAATGAGGTGCAGCCCCACTGTGCCAGGGGCACCTGAGCAGGGCAGTTTGGCACTGCAGCAGGGCCTGTTCAGCGGTCATCAGGCAGGACACAGTAACAGGCTGGCTCTGAGGCTGGTTCAGGAGCCCCTGACACTCAGGCAAGCACAGCTGAGGGGCAGCYCAGGAAGGACTCAACACCCAGGCTTGTCGAAAGGTGAGGGTGGATGCCCTCGTTGAGACTGTCACAGCAATTAAGTTCTCTTTGTGCACTCATTGCCCTGATACAAAGCTGTGTCTTCAAAATGGAATATAACAAAGCCTTTTCTAACCATCCACGATCCTGTCAGATATCCTGGAACTGTTTGTCAGCATATATCTGACAAAATACAGGGATATAGCATTTCCAGATTTCCTCACAGTCTGGCTGAGGTGCAGGGTATATCTTGGGATAGTAAGAGAGCAAACAGTTGTCAACTGATGGTGCTAAAAGAGCATCAAACAGAATTCCAGGCAGTGAGTCTTAAGGAAAAATTTCAATTTAATTTAAGCAAAGACATAGCATCTAAAACATCCAGCCTAGCAAAAGCAACACCAGGCTGAATGAGGGAAGGCAACTGTCTAAACTAGGATGCATGTCTTCACTACTTAGAATACTTGGGATGAAAGATGGATTTTTTCCATCAAGTTTTTATTTTATAGGACAAATAACAACAAAAAAAAAAGGATTGCTGAAATACTCTTGAAATTTTGACAAACTACACTTGTAGCACTATGGGAAGCTAGTTCTTTCTACTTTTTCTTCTTTCCTTTTCTCTTCTCTGTCCTCTCTCCCATAAGTTTTAGGCATTTTTTAATGGAATTGTCTCATATTTAATGATATATGTGACTGAAAAACTGTATGGATAAAGAATTGCTGTACTGCTCAAAATAAATAATCTGGCAGAGAAGAATAAATGCATTTTAAGAACAACCTTGCACTGCTGCGCAGGAGCGCTGAAGTACTATTCTACCCAGGGAAGCAGAAAGCTAGAAGAGAAGTATGCTAGGCTGGGTCGCCCACAATGGTTCTTCAARGATGTCTTCCAAGTCACATACCAGGTGGATGATATGCACACAGAGCATTGCTGGCTACGGTCCAGAACCCAGTCAGGGTGGCAATGTGGAAAATCCTGAGGGACTGGGTGGACACTTGAAGTTCATTGTGTTGGGAAGGCACCTGGAGGACGCAAGAATTTCTATGGGGTGTAGCTAGATTGAAGAGAATAATCTCCCGGGCACTTATGTGCCTTGTTCCAGTTCTGATTCAGAGGATTTAGTTGCCATCTTTGGGAATTTGAGAATGCTAGAAAAGAAGGACCATTTTTACTATCATTTCTCCTGGAAGTGCCTTGGTGGAGAAGAAGTGAGGAGAAGCAAAATCTACAGTCAATATTCTGATGTAGCCTGTTTGGATGGCTTTTCTAGCACTGATACTCAGGGATCTCTGCAGCAGTCCTTCCAGGAGCTAAAATGGCTTCGGGAAACAACTTAAATCTTCTGTAGATATGACAACAGAAAGAAATGTTTTTGTTCACTGTCATCTCCTGATCAAGTGGACTTCAAAAGCCTTGTCATAAAAGGAGCAAGGAAGAGAGATTTAATGAAAACTCTCAGGATGTGACAAACCACTTGTGGTGCAACAAAAGCTATCAAAATATAATAAGCCAGATTAACTTGCTGCAACTATAGAGTGAAGTAAGATTCCTGGTCTACAACACTGGAAAGGGGCCACTGTATGCAACACTAATGAGCATTTATTTGAGCCAACTGTGCTTCACTCTGTTTTTGCTTCTCACAGACTTCCAAGAAAAAGAGCAGCATCTTACATTGAACCTAAACCCACCTTTTGGCCCATGTTTTTTTCCACTTATGCTAGTCATTTAATGGGCAGTATTCTGGGAGAAGTGTACACGAAAGAGAAAAAAGGGGTGAAGGCAGAAAGAGAAGTAATTTAGCAAGCACTGTAACAAAATACATTGTTTTCAAATTACTTTTGTCTTGAGGATATGGCTCAGTAAAGATGCTTTGATGTCTAAACAAGTATTGGAGTCATGGAGTCTTTCTCCTAGACTTGCCATTACCAGAGAACTTAACTTTCTCCCAGAATACACAGAAATTATGTCCTGTTTAACAAAATCCAGTTATGAACCAGGAGAAAACACTTGACAGGGAATCATATGCCCCTAGGGTCCTATGCCTGGCTGTGCTGCTAGCCTGCTGAGTAACCTATGGGAAATTAKCTCATCTTTCTGTGCTTTTATTTCCCACAAATAATGGTGCATATTCTTAGATGTTACTATTACTATGCAGCTGTAATATTCTAGTATGCTTGTAATCATACTCCAACRTTTACAATATTCCTCTTTCTGCTGAAAAAGAGGTTCACTTGTCAGGTGTTATTAAGACAAAGATCACAGAATCACAGAATTGCTAGGGCTGGAAGAGACCTCTAGAGATCACATTGCCAGCTTCCTAGGCAGGGTCACCAGGAGCAGRTGACACAGGAACACATCCAAGTGGGCTCTGAATGTCTCCAGAGAGGGAGACTCCGTGACTTCTCTAGGCAGCCTGTCCCAGTGCTCTGCCACCCTCATTGTCAAGTTCTTCCACATGTTGAGGTAGAACTTCTTGCRCTTTAGTTTATGGCCACTGTTCTTTGTCCTATTGCTAGGCACCACTGAAAGAATCTGGTATGATTCTCTTGACACCCACCTTGAAAATATTTTTATATATTGATGAGATCCCTTTTCAGTCTTCTCTTCTCCAGACTAAACACCTTTTCACTCTCTCCTCGTAAGAGAGATGTGCCAAGACACCTCATCACCTTTGTGGCCCTTTGCTGGACCCCCTCAGTAGCTCCTTATCTTTAATGTACTGATGTTCTAAGATATCTTTATGACAGGTTTAGGGACACTCACAAAACCTAAAAGTCAGGGAAGGGCAGACATTTCGCGTTGATAACGCCCTCGCCCACGAAGATTTCATTCATCCCGTGCTGGGCAGCGCCCCCACACCCCGATCCCTTTATCCTACATTTCCCGGCGTCACGCGCGCAGGGCGGCGCCGCAGGAAGCGCCGCGCGGGTCTTTCCGGCCGTGCGCGCGCCCTGAGCGGAGGCGCGCCCCGAGCCTGCACGGACGAGACAAGATGGCCGGGCTGCCCCGAAGGATCATCAAGGTACCGCCGCGCGCCCCCCTGGCCGCGGTCCGCTCCGCCATGTCCCGCCCGGGGCGCCGGGCCGGGGTCTCGCGCGGGGGGCAGCGCTGCGCCGCGCCGGCACCGCTTCCGGTGCCCGGGAACAGGGCCGCGCCGGAGCGGGGCCACCTCCGCGGCCTCCTCCAGCCCCTGCCGGGCGAGGGGCGCCTCGCTGCCGCCGTGCCCGCGTCCCCGCCGCTTCCCGCCGCCGCCGCCGCGGG